TTCAGTTTCAGTTGCATGCTTAGCAGAAGCTCAACAGTAAAATGGTTCATGAATGTAAAATTTTGTCCTGGATTTTTTTTTTCTCACAAAATTGTTGTTGTAAATCTGGATATATATGTTAGTGTTGTTAATGTACTGTGAATTTATAAATGCAGATTTATTTATATGATACATATAATTTTTTGAATATCAACATGAACCATTTTTGCATTTAAACTCAAAGAAAATTATACATGAATAGTCAGTTATATTATTGTTACATATTCATTTTTCCCTAGATATACGTGTGATAGCACAGAAGTGTCGCCAATAGATGATATTTGGAAATTCCGGGATGTGTTAGAGGAAGTAGCAGGAAAACCAGGCATGAAGTCTATTTCAGTGGTGAATTCATTCCCTACAGGTTTGTTTTACTAAAGATAAAGGGCTAATTTATTTTAAATTCAGGATGATTTCTTTGGTTAGCATTTTGAGTAAAACTGTCTTCACATTCTGTGTATTGGCACTTGCTTTTATAGGAATATGTGGAAATTAACATGACAGTTATAAATGTAGAATGTCCATATGCTTTCATTTAATCTCTTCTCATCTCTTTGACCTGTGGTAGATTAAATAATTTCAATACCAATATAAAAGGAGAAGAGAGGTTTCTTTCCATAAGTGAATATACAGCATTAATTCGAATTTTCTTCTTATCTAGGGATATTATTTGATAATAAACTTTATTTATTTGAACAATTTTGTTTCAGACTTTGATGAGTCAGAACCTTCATCATCAGTGTCAGTAACATACAACCAAGAGGTAAAGGATATGACAGGGTATAAGAAACAGTCAAAAATATGTATGAAAATGTACTGATCATAGCACAGCACCAGCAGAAGCCAATCATTCACAGCCACAAACATCAAAACCAGCAAGGGTGTTTCATCCTTCGATTTCAGCCTCAGATCTACAATGATCATCAAAGCTACCTCAGGTTGCTGCAGAAACACAGCAATTAAAGTCACCACTTCCGCAGACACTTGCTAACTCGGTTGTGATGTGTTAACTTTCATAAGTCAGTAACATCTTCTTTGATAGAACATGTAAAAGAGCAAAAATCGATGGAAGACAAAAGAAAAATTCTAAAGCAAGTATATGGTTTTATTCAGGGACAAAATGCATGGTTTGAAAGACTAGCCGAAATTGCAAAATGGCAGAACAATTTATTGGAGCAATTTGCAAATCATATGGTCCTAAAAGAACAGGTAAGAGGCTCATGCAGCGACAGTTAGGACAGATACAGCAGATGGCACACTTATATGACCTACAACACCAACATCAGCAGTTCATCTACCAACTTCGGCAGCTGCAACTGGAATTTTTGTATGAACTGCATGACCACCACCAGTGCTACATACAAGAGAAAGGCAACAGTTAATTTTGGTAAAAGAGTGAATGGAAATACTCCCAGCAAATGATAAAGCCAGTCTGGCACAGTGAGATTGATATGCAAGTTACATCAATGGCATTAATGGTCCAATAGTCTGTAAAAGGAAGTGTAAAGTCCCATGTTTACTCATGCTGAGATTAGAGATTAGTGCATATGTTTTGTGAAATTATTTTTATATGTGAGTTTCAACATGGAATATAATTTCCTTTTTCAAACTTAATTACAGTATGAACTGTTAATATAAACTATTGTAGACAAAATGCCCAACCTTATATTTAGTTTAGAGAATCCCAAAGACAAAAATATTATTAATATTATTGTTTTAGTCCAATATATAATTTGTACAGTGGAAATGTGTAAAGTATTGTCTTAAAGTTAATATGAGTTATTCATACGAATTTTTAATTACAAGTGCTGTAATGTTCCAGTTTCCCAGTTAACCCAAGATCATGATCATAAGTCTGCAATGCTAAATTTTTTTCAGCAGTGTTTATGTATCATCAAATATATCAGCCTTATATAAAAGGGGTATACCAAAGATGTTTGATGGTGTGTCATTTCATCCCTATTTGCTTTTAGCAGAAACTGACAATGATTATACCAAAAGCTGAAACATTTTGTGAAATACTAGTGTGAGGTCCTCATTACTAGCAGATTAGTATGAGGAACCTCATGATGTGTAGAATTTACTGGAGGATGCATAGGTCATTACACATAAATCTTTCCTATAAAACAGTTCTATTCAAATCAGATGGAGGCTTGGCATGTTAACGTCTCATCTTTATTTAAGAGATAGAGTGTCTGTGTGCTGTGCGTGGGCGCGTGCGTGTGCGCGCGTGCGCGAGCGCTATCGGTTATTTTCTTCAATTAAATGTTTTTAACTTTATATATTATTACATAATGATTCCGGAAGAACATTGTTATGTACTTTTATGTACGAAAATAGTTTGTGTGTGTGTGTGTGTGTGTGTGTGTGTGTGTGTGTGTGTGTGTGTGTGTGTGTGTGTGTGTGTGTGTGTGTGTGTGTGTGTGTGTGTGTTTGTTTGTTATTACTTGTTCTAGATTTG